GCTAGTATTAGGGCTGAATCACCAATGCGCCAAGATGGTATGTGCTAATGGGACTTGAATCTTAGCTGACAAAAATATCAAGTATACTATTTTCCAGTCCTCCAAAATGTTCAAAGCACTTTCAAATACAAAGCTCAATAGAGGTTTTTGTCTTCCAGGTGAGAATAGTGCACAGACTGGGCCTCTGAAGGAAAGATTGCAATAAGGAAAGATCGCAAATTATAGCCTAATGGGAAAGGTGGTGGGATACCAAAGATGAACTCTCTGGACATAATTTCTTTTACCTAAAGCTAGTTTTGGGTACATGGTTCTTTTGTTGCAAGTTGTAATTATCCCCAGTTATGGTGAATTTATTCAATGGATATACATGCTCAGTTATCTAAAAAAACAAAACAAACAAAAAAACCCAACCCAACTTCCAGTAGAGTACAGCACAGCAAAAAGATGTTCACTTCAGTGTCTCACCATTCTTGTGATTCAACTACCTGCTACCAGCTAACGAATTAATTTTCTATATCCATTATGCTGATTATTGTAAGGTGTAAGGATTGCTGCAGCATAATGGTACATAGAAGAATATGTCTAGAATTTAATGCCTCTTGGATACTGTGCTAGAATTAAGAGTATATTAGGAGTATATATAACACACTAATTATGAAGATGAGGGAAGATGAAAACAGTGTTAAGGAATGGACCTTCTAATATTTGTATATTAAGTTAAAAGAGCTAATGGTAAGCTACTGGGAATGGTCAATGTAATTGTTAAGAAAAGACTTTTGAACAGAAGGGGCAATCTGTCAGGGAAGTCTTTAATTAAGTGTCTTAGCAAGATCTGCTAATGGGGAAAGAAAAACATTCCAAAGCCCTCTTCCCTAAGGAGGACATGGAAGGATAAAAGGATAGGGAGGAAATGAAAGTGTTCTAAAGGTCTATTTTAGTAGGTGAGGGCATGATGCTATGTAGAAAGAAAGTTCTCGGCTAGGGAAGTAGTTGTTACTTTGTTATCACGCAATAGTGCTTGATTCTAAATTCAGGAATAAGGAAATAATCCTTAATGCATATCAGTTAGAACTTTCAAATTATCAAGGATCAGCAAAGCTGATTTAGTAAAGGAAAACAAAAATGCAAGAAACACAGTAACATAAAATAAGAGAAACATAAGAAACTTGTTCTAGATGTCAAGGAATAATATAAAGCCATTTTGATTAAATCATTCTGGTATTGATAGTAATATAAAATAGGTAATGGAAAGAAATAAGAATCCAAAGTAGATCCAGAAATAGATATAGGAAATCTCTCTCTATATATAAAATCTACCTCCCTCTGTCTATCTATCTTTCTTCAGTAGGAAAAGGATGATTTAATAGAGAAAATATAATTGGTTACCCATCTGGAAGGAAATGAAACTAAAACCGTATCTTGTATGATGTACATAGAAATACATGAGTATAAGAAAATTCACAAATTTAGTCTGGCAAAAGTTCTCATAAACAAAGTTAAAGGATAAATAATAGAATTGACCAAAAAAAGCAACATAAAAGACAGATGGAAGACTAATATCTATTGTATACATTGAGCTCTTCTGTTTTGCCAAGCAGGGAGTGTTAAAAAAGAAAAAAATTCAATGACAGTTGTTAAAGATGGTAAGGCAGTCTTTTTATAGGAACATCAAGATAGGTATAGGACTACTGCAATGGAATTTTAGAGTTGGGAAAGAGATTGGGCTCAACTCCCAGTGTAGCATAGGCAAGTGGGAATTCACAAGTAAGGAGCAGGGTGGGGATCAGGGGTCACTTGGGAGGTGGTGGAGACTAGGAACCTGATCAGATATTGAGAGTGGGAGGGTCTTGGTTAAACTGACTTACCAGAGTTCTTGCTGAGACTAGATTTTACAAGGAAGTGCATAGGTGGGGCTAGGAGAAGTTTAAGCCTGACAGAAGTGTCGGTCAAGCAAAGAATCATTGTAAGAAGAAATCCAATAGAAAATTGATAAAAAGGACAAAGAATGTGAAGAGACAATTCAGAGATGAGTAAATCTAAATGAGCAACATGCTTATAGAGATACTCTAATAGTAGTCTGGGAAATGCAAATTAAGGTAAGATGATTTTACATTTATCAAACGTGTTAGCAGTAGGTATTTAAGATGGTAACACTGATTGGTGACAAGAATATAGGGAAAGGGTACAGAAACGGTGGTGAAAATAAAATTTCTTACAATATGAAAAGAAATTGGTAAGATATATTGAAATTAAATTGTATGTATACTTTCAGGCGGAATATAACTTACAGGGAATATAACTTATGGAATATAACTTACAGGGGAAAAAATCAATATTATATAAAAATACATATACAGAAATAGTTGGAGCATGACTTTGGGTGGCAGAAAACTGGAGTACACATCAATAGAGAAGCAGTTGCACAGACTGTTACAAATACACTTAAGTGTTAGAAGGGTTGAATTTAATAAGTTACATTTCAGAGTTGAAGGAATTTTTATGAGGTAGTATTAAGTGAAAAAAAAAAGGATGCTATAGAGAGTTTAATGTGAAAATCTTTTAAAAAAAAGAAAAAACAAAAGTCAGGGCAGCTGGGTGACTTAGTCGGTTAAGCATCTGGCTCTTGATGTCAGCTCAGGTCATGATCTCATGAAGATTCTCTCTCTCTCCCTTTCTTTCCCCTTCCCCTCTCCACATCAAAAATAAGTTAAATAAATAAACAAAAATAAGACAAAAGTCCTCCATATGCTTATATGTATATGTGTACTCTGTGTAATTTACTTGGACACGCAGAAAATAGGAATGGTGTATGTCATGCTCTTTGTTGATGTGAGCGCTTTCTAATTGGCTGATGTGCATTAGGAGAAGGAGAGGTGGAAGAGGAGAGAGGTAATGGCAAACCAAAAAAGCAAAATATAAGACTACTAAAAGAAAGTCAAGTATGTTATATGATCACATTTAGGGAGTTAAGTATATATACATATATATGATGATATAAAAATAATTCAAGGAAGAATATCACAGAAGTCTTCCTCTTTGAAACTGGTGGTGACACCTTCCCTCTATCAATTATTAACACCAAAGATCTTGAACCCTTAATGTTCTGTGTAATATATTTTTCCTGAAACTAGTATTTATGTTCTAGAAGAGTTGACATCACATGAATGAAGGATATGAAGGGCTTAAAACCTGAATTTCCCCCTCTCTTCACCACTCACTTCAGTTTCAGCTTCTCAGCCTCAAATCCCTGGGGGCACTTGGGCGGCTCAGTTGGTTAAGCATCTGATTTTGGCTCAGGTCATGATCTCAAGGTCCTGGGGTGGAGCCCCACATTGGGCTCACTGTTCAGCAGGGAGGCTGCTTCTCTCTCTGCCTCTGCTTCTCCCCCCAACTTGTAATCTCCCTCTCTCTCCCTCTCTCTCTCTCTCAAATAAATAAATAAATGAATTCTTATATATGTAAATATCTTTTTCTGTCACCAAGTGACCAACCCCTAGGGAAGTGTCAATTTTTTATTTAGTTCTTAAATCAGCTCCATTGTTGAAGCTCTCACTTTACAATTAAATTGGTTCTAGGTTTTCTAATACCATTTATGCTAGAGTTCAGGTAAAATTAAGCATCAAGTAGGCTTTTGAGAGCTCACCGGGGAGAATAATCATAAGCTATAATCCTATTTCTGATAGGAAATTAGTGTATTGCACACTTAAAAAATATGAAACCAAGCTGTTTGTAAATTAGGAACTATCTTAGTTAAAGAATTTTATAAATTATAAAGCTCATGTACAAATGTTAAACATGAGGGTGACCCAGTTTTGATTTAGTGGTAGTCTTGGGTGTTATGATCGACTAGAATTATTTTCCTTCAGTCCTCACTGCTGCCTTGAGACCATCCTGGAGCTCTCTACTAAGCCAAAGTGACAAACTTTATAAAGTAGAGAAGGCTCTTCTTCAGGCAAGGTTTTATTCATTTTTAATTATTGTTACCCTTGTTTCTGCCGCAAGGCTAGGCTCTGAATTTTTACCTGCATTTCCAACCCTAAATAGGAACCACAGGTCATAAGAAGGTGGGAAAAGAAAGTTAACATTTATTGAGCATCTACCATGAGCCAAGTTGTTTAATCATTAGATAGTTATCAAGAGGATATTCCAAATGAGGATTTCATAGGATTAAATAATTTTCCTTGTCTAGCATCAAGTAAGTAGTAGTGGAGATGGTTTTTAAAATATAGGTAGTAATTTTTCATTTTAACTTTTATTTAAATATAACAGATATACCAAACAGTTTATGAATCAGAACTGTTCGTTGTTGAATTTTCACGAAGTGAACACTCTGAAACCAGTCTCCAGGTCAGAAAACGAAACATCACCAGAATCTCAGAAGCTACCCAGAGCATGCTAATTATCCTCTCCAGAGAGTGATCTCTCCTGATTTCCAGCACTTCTAACATCAGAGAGTTTATATTACATCAGTTTGGACTGTTTTTGAACTTTATATAAATAGGATCATACAATATATCTTATTTTATGTCTGGCTTCTTTCAACTTTCTGTTTGGGTAGTTCATTGATATTGTTACATGAAGTTGTAGTTTGCTCATTCTCATTATTGTATAATACTCCATTGTGTGAATATACCTCAATTTGCTTATCCATTTAACTGTTAATGGACATTTGGATAATTTCCAATAGCTACTTAGCTATTATGAATAGTACTGCTATGAGCATTCTTATACACACATGTGTTTTAGTGCACAAATATACACATTTCTGCTGAATGTATACTTAGGAGGGCAGTCGCTGTGTCATAGGATTTGTGTTAGGAATTTTGATTACTTTATATTCTTCTTAACTGCCAAACAGTTGTCCAAAATTGGTTATACCAATGTACACTCTAACCAGCAGCCTATGGGAATTCTGACAGTTCTCATCCATTCTAACAGAGGCATTTTGAAACAAGGTTTCTGACTCTAAAACCCAATGCTCTTTTCCTTTTATCTAAATTTTATTTAAAGGTAAGAACTTGGTAACAATTTTCTTTTATAAATTCCATGATTCTTTCTAAGATTATTATTCTTTGTTCATTAAGTGAGTTTCCTTTTTTATACTGGAAAATATATCTGTGCTGAATAGAATTTAGCAGGGTCAGCAGTGTATCGGAGGCCTCACGCAAGTATTTATCTTCAGTGAACCCAGCTTCTTCTATTTTCTCTGCATGGGTGAAAAGAATGGCAGTGTATTTCTTCCAAGCATGTCCCAGAAGTTCCTGAAAGAAAGAAGAAGTTAAATGGCTATTTGACTTGACCCATAGTCCTCAAACACAAGCAAAGGATAGCTTTTAGACATATATTAGTTATTAGACATATATTAGATATAGACAGTCAACAGATCTGGATGTCTGTCATGTTACTAAAAGCTGATATATGTAATGGGGAGTGAAGATGGGGTCAAATAATGGAAAGAAATAGAGAGATGGGCAGAGTTTGTTAAAAAAAAAAAGGCTTTCTTCATTTTAATTTGCTCTTATAATTTATGTATATACAACTTCAGAACTGTGTATTATTAATGCTGCATATGATACAATTTCATTTACAACATTCAGCAATAATTTATATTTACCTGACAACCTGAAGCTATTAGAACTATAGTTCCTTTAAGTCAAAGGACTTCGGCCAAGGGAATTATCCTATTTTTTTTGTAGGAATGTTGTGTTATTATCATAACTAAAAGTATCTTCTGAGGATTTATAATTACATAATCTGGTTACAATCTATTGATTAATCAGATGACATGTAATGGAAAAGCTAAGATCAAATTACATTTAGTGATTTGGAACAACTACAAAATATTACTGTGATTCGAATCCTCTTCACTTCACATGCCAGAATCAAGCCCAGTTTATCAGATGACTTCCTCTAATGTGGTTGAAAAACATTGAAGACTGGTATTCCTTTGTTTAGTAATGTGTGGAAGTTGGTTATGGAATAAAGTCTTGTTTGATTAGTGAAAATAAGCTGATATAAAATGGAAGCAACAGAATGTGGCAAATTGTTCACACAATGTGGAAGGTGTCTAGAAATAATCATTTAACATTTTTAATATTCCAAAAGTTATAGGAAATCATGACATTGTGAAAGTAAAATGACATTCCTTTCATTCCAAATATTCTTGTTACCAAAATATTTTCAAAGGTGCTACCAGTTTGTAATAGCAATTTGGAGTTTAGACCCTCACCATCATCTTAAGTAGAAGGTTTAAGGTATTTTATTTTTGAGTCTTCAGAAAAATATTAAATACTTAGGAATAAATATAACAAATATCCAGGACCTCTAGTAATCAGAAGGAAGAAAGAAGGAAGAATAACTAATATTTAGTGGTAGATACTATGCTCGTCACTTTACACACTTTATTCCTTTTGAAATTCAACATAATGCTTTGTGGGAGATAATACAAACTCAGGTTTAAAAAATCTGAAAGACAGGTTGGGAAACTATTTTCAATGTATATAACAAATGTAGGATTGGTATTTATAAAACTGAAAAACTGAAAATGAAGAGAGAAAGAGGAAGAGAGAGAAAGGAAGGAAAGGAGGAAGAATCCAGACAGGTAAATAATATGGAAATATGGCAACTGTGGGACAATATATTTAAATTTAAACATATCTAGACCATGGTTACCAATTACGATTTCTAATACAGTTTGTCATTTATCAGAGCTATGTATTTATGTATTTATCTCTGTGAGCTTTTGGAAGGCAGAATCTATGTCTTTCTTATCAAAGCCTCACATTGTAAACTCTCAATAGAAATTGGTTGGACTAATTTGGAGTTTGGAGCCTCACCATCACCTCAAACAGAAGGCTTAGGGTTTTATTTATTTGTTTTGAATCTTCAGTTTTTTGTTTTTTGTTTTGTTTTTGTTTTAAGAGAGAGAGAGAGTGAGCACAGGCAGACAGAGTGGTAGAGGGAGAAGCAGGCTCCCTGCGGAGCAAGGAGCCCGACGCGGGACTCGATCCCACAACTCTGGGATCATGACCTGAGCTGAAGGCAGCTGCTTAACCAACTGAGCCACCCAGGCGTCCCTGTTTTGAGTCTTCAGTTTTGAAGTTTAATCTTTGGGACACAAAATTTACCTTCCTGTAAAATTTCTCTTTTGTTCTATAGTTCATGCCCATGGATTTGCATGTAGTCTGTACTTTCTCTTTCGCATTCAGACCCTCTCAATGAATAAGTCCAAATTTTTCCTCATATCTGTTTAAAATTTGTCTGCACCATAGAATAATTGTATATTTTTGGTTCTCCTAAAAGTGCCCTGCCTGAAGAAAATCTGAATTGAAGTTTCCGGATCAGTACATTAAATGAATAATTATTTTTTTAAAGATTTTATTTATTTATTTGACAGAGAGCGATCACAAGTAGGCAGAGAAGCAGGCAGAGAGGAGGAAGCAGGCTCCCCGCTGAGCAGAGAGCCTGAGATCATGACCTGAGATGAAGGCAGAGGCTTAACCCACTGAGCCACCCAGGTGCCCCAATAAATAATTATTTTTAATAGATTCTAAACCTTACAAAAGAACTTTTAAAAGGGTATTTTAATTGGTATATTCTTATGTGCCCTCAAAACATAAATTAGCAAAATTTAAATTAACCCAACTTTTAAAGAAGATAGCTGTTTGTAAATCTAATAGATGTGTAATGTCAACATCACATTTTAGCTAATAGTGACATAGCAACACTTGTCATACTTAGTATGTTGTAATGTATTTCTTGTGGAAAAGATCAAAGAGTCGCAAAATGAACAGGTGTTATGGTTTGAATTGTGTATCCCACTCCAAACTCATATGTTGAAATCCTAACCTCTAGTACTTCAGAATGTGACTTTATTTGGCATAGGGTGTTGCCAATATAATTAGTCAAGTTAAGGCCACTAATGCAATGCGATTGGTGTCCTTATAAAACAGAGAAATTTGGACAAACATATGAATACAGGGGAAAATGGCATAAAAACATAAAGAAAGAAAGTCAAGACCCTTGGATAGATTCTTCACTTACAGCCCACAGAAGGAATTAATCCTGCTATTGTTCATTTCAGATTCCTAGCCTCCAGAACTGAGAGGTAATACACTTCTGTTGCTTAAAAGACACCCAGGTAGTGAAATTTGTTATGGCAGCCCTAGCAAATTAATACAAATAGTTGAAAACTTTATGAAGTGCTAAATAGATCTAGATTCTGGGAATAAAGAGATTTCTGGGTTATGTACATCAGAACCACTTGAGATGCTTGCCAAAAATGTATCAGAATTTTTAGGGATGGAACCTGGGAATTTGAATTTTAAAAAGAACTCCAGGTGATTTATTCCTTCTGCAAAGATATACTGAGGGTTACTTTGTTTCAGGAACACAGAGTGGACCATGACATACACTTTTCTGCTTATGTCTAGTGGAGATTCTTTTGTACTAACTTAGAACTGAGGAAGAGGGACAGACAGGAAAGAAAATATTTTCCATTTGTTGTAACTGCAGGTATTGTGATAGAAAATATATTGGTGCTATAGAGGCAGACATTTGGCCCGGTTTGGGGTGGGGGTGGAAAGTGAAGGTAAAGGGAGGAGTCACATGCAGTTTCTAGCATGTGATGATGCTTCAAGCATAGGAATCAACAAGAGACTTATAGGGCAGTGAAGATGTACAAAGTAAAGAGAGTGATTGAGCCTTATTGGGGATTGTATAGTGTATAGTATTGGGAGTTCTCTAAAGTGAAATTATTGATCCTTGAACATTCTTATCTCTGAAAGTTTCACAAATTTAGAGCCAGTTCTAATATTCACCCAATATTGATCTGTTTATTTTGATGGTTATAATATTGAAATGTATATTACAAGTTAATAAATAGACACTACCCTTAACCTCTTGAGTGCTACCTCCAGGTCTACCCCTTGGGTTTTGGTTGATGCATGAACCACATTTGTCATTAAATATTTTTATTACTTATTATAATAATAATAATATTTAATATATATTAAATATTTTATTATTTGTTATAATAAAAATTCATGCTAAATAAACTGTTTGGCCCAAGTGATCCCTTCCTGAGTCCTATATTATAATATAGAATTCTTCTCTTGCTAGGTGAGTACTCATTGCGTTCAATGGTATAACTGTATAACTTTCACAGTACATCTTTAGTTCCTGGTTTTCTGGGTTGTAACATTAACACATTCCCTTTTTGTCTCCACCAGATATTTCCTCTACTTTAAACTATAATAACATTCAGGGAAAATGAGTTAAACCACCTAAGGAAAATAGATTTGTAAGCTCAACACCACTTGCAAGTCCTTGTGTTCAGCCACTGGGAAGTTTTTACATGTTGATAGTTATTTATGAAAGGATGCTCATGTCCTAAACTGTGAGAGAAATTGCACTTTTGAATTACTGCCAAAAATAGAAGAGAATGGTTGATTTAGCTTATAATCTTTAGATTGATTTTTGGCTGGAAAATAGTTGACTGTTTGAAAGTAGTGTCGCTTGGTGTATAGTCATCACGTTAGTGGCCAAACGTGTTCTCTATGGACCCAGAGAAAGAATAATCACAGTTGATTGATACCTCACATAAAAATCCAAGAGTAAGATGAGTTAATGTAAGTTATCTGGTGTTAATAATTTAAATATAGTACTAAGCTAGATGGAAATTTTACAATCAATCATGAATTGTTTGGTTTCAGAGTGCTAATGGGTATGAGTCCATCTAGTCCTTTTGGGACAACTAGTTAGGATATAAACTGTGTTTTCCAGGAATTATGTTCATTTTCCCAGGACCTCACCAGCCCTGCCCCATTTGTTTGTGGTTGATGAAATCATAGCATCTGGACTTTTTAGGGGGAATTTTCTAAAAAGCCAACTATTACATCAACTGAGAAAAAAATTATCATGGAACAGGAGGACAATAAGGACCATTCTTTATATTTCATACTCTTCCCTTACTCTCATCCCACTTAAAGCACCACATTTCTTTTGCCGAGTGCTGAATGATAAGACTTTGTTAGATCAGATTCAGTAAATATTCAACCTTAGAGATCTTTTGTCCAAATTGGCATATTTTATAGAAGGAAATATTGTGACATGTGATGTTAAATGGCCAAAGCCTCACAGCTGGACTGTCGGCAGGCCTGGGCCTATAACAGAGGTCCCCTACCCGCCTAGACCATGTCCTTCCCACTAAACTGGAGCTTCTTACTTTAACCTTTACTAAGCCAGTGAATTTTCTTCCCGGATTGTTTTTTTTCTAAATTAATAGGGAAGTTCTTATACGTCAGGGCTGTGTAAACTTGATTTCACTCTGGGCAAGATAATCCTGAAGAAGTTTACAAATAATATGTCTTAATTTTAGTATAAGACAAACATTAACAATAAAATTATAATGCCCATAGATGACACTTAGTGTGCACTCATCTTGTGCTAGTGCCCGAGTAAATTTACTATTATGTTAATACGAAATTAGTCCTGAAAATAACCCAGTCAAGTAGACACTATTATTTTTCCCAATTTACCAATGAAGAGATTGCTCATATCCAGTAATTCATCTGAATGAGGTACTCATTACAATCTGCGTAGTGATAAAAACAATAAAAATGTTAACAATGATAGTAATTTTCTATGAATCTACTCTAAGTCAAGCAAAATGCAGAGCATATTACGTCATTAAACAAAACCCTTAAAACTCTTGAACATAGGTAAAATTATCCTCATTTTAAAAGTGAGGAACCGAAGCCAAGAAACTCGTAGTAATATTTATAGTCACATACTTAGAATTGTAAGAAGGCTTATTTTTCAACTAAATTCTATCCAAGAACTAAGCTCGTTATCTTTGTTAAGTATTTTCAGGCTTTGCATTCTCCTCTCTGAGCCTTTTGTGTACACACCCACCTGTAACACCAACATTTGAGTTGTTCATTCTAAATAAAAAATATCTGCTTAAAGCCTGATTATGTACAGTAATAATACATGATACCATGTAGTGGAAAAAATTTGGACTTTAGTCAATTCCTGGATTCAATTCCTAGTGCAGTTTGGCTGATTGCTAGCACTTTTCTTAAGGTGATTTTATTGTCTTCTCTTATTCATTATTTGTGGATTTTTAAATAATATTCAAATGATATTCAGATAATATTTAGATGAATCATTCCCTTTATTTCCCAATTTTGGGGAGATGACTCACATGTCCACCATTTTGCTATAAATTATGAAGGCCTAACATAAATTTAAAAAAAGGGATCATTTGGGGAAATGTTTCATTTGTCATTGCTGGCAGCCTATAACCCCTCTAAAAATATTAGAGCACAAATTAAAAGAGATATTTGAAGAGACCACAGGGAGGTACAAGAAAGAAGAGGTCACTTCTCTGGCACTGGCCTTGTAGGCTCCTTCCAAGGCAGGCATGAGTGCTGCCAGAAAGGAGGAAAGCAAAAGGGAGAAGGCAGATATTCCATCCCCCATTTTGCATAAGCCAGGAAGAAAAAGAAATCCAGGGTGTGTCTGGAACCAAGAGGACCTTAACAACTCCTTGCTTTTCCTAACAGCTGTTGGTCCTGTTGAATATTAAGACATTCTGCAGCTGCTCCTAATCTGTGAGCACATCCAGATGGCTGCCACCAGTAACTGAAGCACCTTCAGGAAGAAGGTCATAAACAGCCAGCTTGTGCATAGGCGATCTTCAACCAAAAATTGTGATAGAAGCTCAGAATAGGACTGCAGTGCCTCCCAGGGGTCATGGGCCCCTCTGTATGTTACTAAATCTTGGCTTCTCAGTTTTCCTGGGAGGGAAAAGATATTTATTTTAGAAAAAAAAATTCTGGATCTGAGTTTAACTGTAGCCCATCTCCTCTCTGCCTTTAAGTCATGAACTGGACACTGAATTAAGAAAGCAGTGGTAAGAGAAGGCGGCTGTATGCCAGGGACTTTTTAAAAAGATCAGAGGCATGTATGAATCAAATTCACTTGTATAAAAAAAATTAAGGGATTACAATAGAGCTCTATATCCTAAAACTGGAAAAAAGTCTATTTTTAAAATGTATGTCTTTTTTTTTAAAGATGTTTTATTTATTTGGCAGAGAGAGAGAGAGAGAGAGAAAGAGAGAGAGAGAGAGCACATAAGCAGGAGGAGTGGCAGGCAGAGGCAGAGGGAGAAGCAGACTTCCTACTGAGCAGGGAGCCCAGTGATGCAGGGCTCGATCCCAGAACCCCACCATCATGACCAGAGCCAAAGGCAGATGCTAAATTGACTGAGCCACCCAGGCACCCTTAAATTGTATGTCTTTTAAAATACCCTTTTCAGCTAAGCATAGGACGAGCATAGAGAACAATCTGGAGACATAAGGAAAGAGGTTAGTTTTTGAGAAATATTTGTGCATTTACTGAATTTACTGATTTATATCCATCTGTACCTTCAACTTAATAACAGCTTTAAATGAACTTTAAAAAACTTATTTAAAAAATTACACTGGTGGAATGGCAACAGGTTTTCCCTCACTTGATTTCTACCAGAAATATTGTTTGAAATGTAGTCTTTAATCGTTTGGGGAAGTTTGTGGGTTGTCTTAGATTCCACATTGTTTCTTAATTGCAATCATCTTCTCTTCTTTGTTTTTGCACAGCATGTCCTTGATTTTTCAGGAGTTAGATGATGAAGAATATTTTTTATACTCTTGTCACCCTAATTTTTTCTGCTAGTTTGTTGTGATTTCACATATGGCTCTTTTTTTTTTCATTTTTAGAAACATGCAGTTAATGAAAAAAAAGTGTGTCTGTCATTTAGATCAATCTTATGCCTTAACAAGTTAAAGGGAAAAAATATTTATTTGAATCTAAGTATACTATCTTTCTAAGTGTAACAGATCTTGTATCTATGTGATCAGAGATTGGTTGAAAGAAGAGTATCATTTATACAAATTCTTGAGTGAAAAAATGTCTGCTCTGTATTCTCCCTGTAGTTTACCTGTGGAGCTTCTAGTAGTGAAGAGTTCTCTTAACCTTGGTGACTCAATGAGGCTACTGAGTAATCCTAGTCAAGTCCAATGGTTAAATTTGGGTGGCCCCAGACTAGAGAATCAAGAGATGAGTAGAATGGAGCAGCTCAATGAGCAGTTTCCAGGAATTGTTGGTTATAGATGGACCTGGTTCATACATGTGTATGTACCATATGCAAGTATTACTCCCTCCATCTCCTAGTTATAGCCATATTCATAAGCCTGCCCTATTCCCAGATCCTTACCTAGACTGGCTAAACAAGCTTCCAGTTTAGTGACTTCTAATAAATGAACAAACAAACCACTAGGCAAGGGTGGCATATGTTATTCATGTTCACGCTGAGGTCTCTGTGGTCTTTTCTTGGCTACAGTGAATCAGTTGCTGACCCTACAGATGACGAGGCACTCAGAGCATCTGAAATTCCTGATGTCTTTCCTATCAATAAAGCCACAGTGAAACCTACTTTTTCCCAGGCCATACATTATACTACTTTGGCACTTAGTGTATTGTCTTGTACTTGTTTATCTATTTGTCTCTTCTAGACTGTAAGTTTTTTAAGGACAGGACTGATATATTGTTCATCAGTCATTAAGCTCTATATAAGTAACTGATACAGTTTTCAATGGCTAAATCAGTGAATGAACACCCATTTGTTGGTAAACTATAAGAGATTGTGCCCTTGATGTTAAATGGATACAAGTTTTAGTAGTTCTTAAACTTTGCTATTAAAAAAAAAAATGGACCATTTATGCAAATGCAGGTATGCAGGTTCTACTCTTGAAATTCAGTATGGCTTGGATGAATATGCATTTTTAACAACAGCCCAGTTGATTCTGAAGCTGGTGGTCTGAAGAACACATTTACAAATTCACTCATGGGTCAGTTAACCTCTGAAGTCTAGCATCTTACTTGGGGATGCGGAGGAGTTTGTCTGTGACCTAGATGTAAAATGACTAACTGAATTCCTCTAAAGGAAATTGTAAAAATGACTCTTGGTAGGAAAAATCAAGTAATTTTTACCATTTCTATGTGACCAACACTTATTTTTTTGCCACTCTCTCTCTTTTTTTTAATGTTATGTTTGTCACCATACAGTACATCATTAGTTTTGGATGTAGTGTTCCGTGATTCATTGTTTGCGTATAACACCCAGTGGTCCATGCAATACGTGCCTTCCTTAATACCCATCACCCAACAGTTGTTTTAAACTTGCTCTAAACTAGTCTTTTAAACAGATTGTCATAGGATAATGTTCTCCAAATAGAAATAATGGCATTAGTGTAATTGCCTTTTTGTATTACCTGAATCATCTGGACTGAGGAAGATGCTTCCTGTCCACAGAGAGGCATGTCTGCTCTCTGGACCAGCAGTGCAAGATGGAGACCCTCTTGCCCGAAGTGATGTGCCAGGGCCTCCTTGATTTCCTGTTTGACATGCTCTTGTTTCAACCTGCTGTGTGGATAACCTGGAGTGTCCAAGACCTGGATCTGCAGGGTTATCTCTTGCCCCCCTCGACGCATGAAGCGACAGAGGTGACAACTGCGGCCCAGACAACAATCTTTGGTTACAGAACATGGAGAAAAGCTGCTGTGGAAGTCAGTGCTTCCCAGAAGAATGTTCCCAGCAGAACTTTTTCCACTCTGAGTCATGCCAAAGAGGGCCAAGTTGATGATCATCTTGTTAGAGTCTGTCATGTCTGTGGGTAAACAAAGGTTCAGCATAAGCAGTTAGGCTTCAATATTCACCCAATGTAAGCCTTCTTACTTGGCCTGGAACATTCCTGGTACTACTTTTGGTTTACTTACCCCTCATTCATAGTGACTAAAGCATGGAGGGGTGCTCCACTAAAGTGGAGACACCCCAGTGAGAACAGGAAGATTAAAATAATATTGGTAGTTTGCAATGGGAGAGGAGGGAGAAGTCAAATACAGACAAAGAAGAGACGAGGAAGCAATAATTGCAGGAAAATGAGCAGGAAAAAAACAAATTACATGAAGATGATGTAAACCATGTTTAGGAGGAATGTGTTAACTCATCAATGTGGCAGGTGAGTCGGTTTAGCAATGGGTGCTGAGGTTTCTGGGTTTATTAATGAAGCTAGCATCAATATTTGAAAATAAATCACTTCTGGAGGAGAAGTAGGAACAGAAGAGTGGAAGAAATGGATCTTTCTGGCATTTTAAAAAACATCCCCAACTTCCCCATCTCCCCACCCCTGGAATACACACACAAGTGGCATCTGCAAAAAATGATCTTTCCTAACTTCCTGAATGTTTGTCTCCTATGAAGCATGAATACTGTTAAAGAAGATTTCTGTTTTTGTTTACTTTTTTTTTTTTACAACCAGGCAACATTCTGATGAAAATGAGAACTGCTTGTAATTTCTGTTATGAAATAATTAATAAATCATTTCCATGATCTACCATAGTAACTTACTGGCTTTTGAATAAAGGAAGTAAAGCCCAACACATTGTGTAGCTCAATTAAGAGGGAGGAGAATCTTGGGAGAATCTATTCCATTTACTGCCCCCCTAAAATGGAGGTAATCTTTTGTGTAGAACATAAGAATTTTTCCTAAAGATTTTATTTATTTGTTTGACAGAGAGAGACTCAGTGAGAGAAGGAACACAAACAGGAGGAGTGGGAGAAGGAGAAGCAGGCTTCCCATGGAGCAAGGAGCACAAGTATGCAGGGCTTGATCCCAGAACCCTGGGATCATGACCTGAGCTGAAGGCAGATGCTTAAGGACTGAACCACACAGGTGCCCCTAGAACATAAGCATTTTAAAGTCATTGATCATTTTCATTAGATCAGTAAGACAGAGCTATAGCCAATTGCCAAATGAACTCAACCTGCTGATTCAGAAGTAAGGACATTTAATTAAAATTGCATATTTAGGGACATCTTGGTGTCTCAGTCCTTAAGCGTCTGCCTTTGGCTCAGGTCATGATCCTAGGGTCCTGGGATGGAGCCCCACATCGGGCTTCCTGCTTCCTCACATTCCCCTCCCATTCCCCCTGTTTGTGCTCCCTCTCTCACTGTGTCTCTCTCTGTCAAATAAATAAATAAAAAATCTTTTAAAAATTGCATATTTATTATTTTTGCTTATAACTTCTACTTCTATTATTCAGTTTTATATACCTTTGGCATTTCTTGTCCTCTATTGTCCCTCACCCCAATCTCCCTAGACTCTAATATGAACATTTTGAAGTAACCTCACACCAACACACAAAAGACACTCATTTTTGGAGTCCCTCAAGATGACCCCAATTTACCCAGTTCATTCAGCTGTGTTGGCTGAACCACAGTCACTCAAGTTTCTTTTTACTCCTGAATCAAATGCATTTTTTTAAAAAAATAATTATTATAGAGTCTCAATAACTTGCTATATGTCACCTACCTTTTCCAATCTTAGAAATACTTTTTCCACAAAGACTTCCCTGGAACTGGTACAGTTGTTCTTTGGTATGAACTTTAACCTTCTGACAGTGTCACCGTACCACTCTGGGACTGATACTGTACGTATTTTATTAGGTTAATCTATTACCAGAATCCTCTCCATAAATGGTTCTTTGTCTTCCTCTAATCAGCACTGAACTGTTTTTGTCATCTGATAGCTGAACATTTTCAACAGATACTTCCTGAAACTATTTTCAAGATTAAATTATTTCTTTTAGGGCATTGCTGATAGGTAATACCTTCTTTCTAGCATAAATAAATGCAAAATTGACAACTATTTTTTTAAGCCATCCTTTTCTCTCTTTTTCTTTTCTTTTTTTTTTAAGATTTTATTTATTTATTTGACAGACAGAGATCACAAGTAGACCGAGAGGCCGGCAGAGAGAGGGGGGAGCCTGCTCTATCCCAGGACCCTGGGATCACGACCTGAGCTGAAGGCAGAGGCTTTAACCCACTGAGCCACCCAGGCACCCCAATATTGACAACTATTAAACACAAACTAGACGTTCAAAAGCAATGGTCACAATTTTTCCATTGAAAATGATAGAACATTTCTCATTTACACTACATCAAAAGTTTCAACAAATAGATACGCAATGTAAATGCAATCAAAAGACATTGAGTTCATAGCAGTAGTTAGTTCATAAATTCAAAAATTCTATAAGAAAATGCTTCGCTATTTCCATGGAATTGAAATTATCTTATCCTAATTGATGCAATCACTAACATGCTCGTATCTATCTGCACATGTAGTTTCCATATCAATTAATGGTAGCATATTTCAGAAAAGGAGTACAACTAACTACAAATTGAGGCCAAATACATTTTGCTTAAAATTGGGGTTTCATCTTGTTGAAAGCTTTAATTTTTTCTCTGTATAATGCATACTTTTCCAACTATCTCTTTAGTGTGTAAGATGTAGAAACCTTAGTATGGTTATATTCTGGTTCATCTTCTCCTATACCTCTCAAAAAGTCTGTGAAGTATGTATTTCTGTGTGAAGGAATCTTGGAGACATCTGGAATGCCTTATGACTTCATGGGCAGAAAGTTAAAAAGTCTTCCTGTGTGGATGTAACAAGGAAAACATGAACTGTTTTCATTCATCTGACAAGCACATTTGGCCTTCTTGAATGAAGCAGAAAGAATCTCCCCCAGGTGGCAGTAGTAGCCTGTTTCCTAGGAAGTAATTTTCAACCAGAATTTATTTCATTTTCTTCTTCAAACCATAAACTGACATTCTTCAAATAGGCAACCTACATCAACATATATTAATTGTGTGGAAGATCTTTTGAATAAAGATAAAATGAAGCCATCTTTCCCATGTTTTGTATAAAATGTGACAAGTGTAGAAGGTTCTTAGTTTTCAAACCCTCCACTTGGCAATCATAGCTTAAATCATTTGCTGAATGCAGTAGTTGACAGTTTAACAAATAAAGTTCAGAGTTCATATGTGTGGTTAAAAGTTCCAATGAGGCTGCAAAATTTAAAAATAATTTCCAACAGGTTTAATGGTAGTTTTAGATCTAAGCCAATTTAGAGATTATATAGAAGGGTAGTGTATTGTTACTAGATGATGTTAAATAATTGATGCTAATTCTTTTTGGATCAGAGTGAAAAAGCAACTTGAAAAATTACTTTCGCTCTTTACTGAAACTTGGTTAAATATAATGTAGCTGGGATAAAACTGTATTACTTTAATGGCTGGCTCTAGAATATCTCTGACAAAGGAAATTGTCTTTGAGAAGATAGTTGGATTAGCTACTTGAAGTAGAAAAGGGGATCCTGATAACATAAGACATCTGAAGTGAAGTAATTGAGGAAAAGGAGGAGGTTGAAGCTAGGAGACTAGTCCCTAAGAGCCTGCGAGAATCTTGGGAAAGATCTTAGACTTTACAGTCTCTGAAATGAGATATTATATGGTAAGGATGACTCTAGTTGACATGAGTAAAAATTATATTTCAAATTACACACATAAGCACAGTATTAATTTGCTAGATCTATCATAGCAAAGTATCATAGACTGAGTGGTTTAAATAAGAAAAGTTAATTTTCTCACAGATCTTGAGGTTAGAAGTGTGAGATTAGGGTGTCAGTGGGGTTGGTTTCTCCCGAAGCCTCTCTCCTTAGCTTATCATGGTCATCTTCTCCCTGTCTCTTCACATGGTCTTTCCTGTGTATGTTGTGTCCAGTTTTTTTCATTTTAGAAGGACACCAGTCATAGCAGATTAGGGCCCACCATAATGGCCTAATTTTAACTTAATTACCTCTTTTAAAGGCCATGTCTCCAAATGCAGCATGTTCTAAGGTACTAGAGGTTAGGATTGTAACATATGAATTTGGGAGATACGTGATTCAGCTTGTAATGCACATGTACACACATTATATTAACATTTGTGCATATATGTATACATTGCAATTATATAAATTATACATCTTTATACTCACTAAAATTGTGTCTCTATAATCCATAAAATTGAGGTTTATTATAAACAGTTCTTGATTTATGGCAATTTGACTTAACAGGTACTCTCATAGTTGTAAATAAACTATAATTTTCATTGGCTTGAACTGTGAACACATTGCTCATTTGTTTTTTTCTTTTCATAATAAAGAAGACCCTTAGAATAATAACCAGAGTCTGTAATTATGATGTCTAAATGGCCTTAACCTTGACTGACACTGTTATAAGTGTAGGGGAGCACTGGTAAGCTGGCTATAGTTGGTGGTAACTTAATTTTCTCTGAGCTGATCTTGGACTAAGACAACAGATCTTACCTTTCCAAAAATTTCAGAGAGCACTGGCCAGCAGTTTCCATTCTGGGGACAGTCCTAATTTGAATTCATTTTGAAGGTTCTTGGAGCCACAAAGAATGCCCATGTCTGCCCATTCCCAACGGGAATATGAGAAGTCTTCGGTCGAAACTTCGTTGGTTTCTCATTTTAAAGACTGTACCAGTCTCATCCTCCCTCAGGAAAAGTTTTGATGTTGTTTTTTGTTTTGTTTGCATTTTGCTTCTGAGTATTTCTGATTGATTCTTTTTAAGGATTATAAATGAAATAAGTGTATTTCAAAGCATCTAGGAAACTCAGAAAAGAAGAGAGGAAAATAGGGTCATTTAAAACATTTTATTTCCTGGCCCACATGGGACAGTGGCTCCTCTTGGGGAGTGACACAGTAAGCACATTTCTTTTTCCAAATACTCCCGTCCCCCTGCTATTTACTCTAGTTCCTTAAGCAACACTACTGTGATGAGAGGCCT